TAGTACACTTTCCGTACATGCACTGAAGCAGCGCCGTTGATTCGCGACAGAACAGACATTTCAACCCCAAGCGGCCTTGGGAACTTTATCGACGTCGCACACAACGTCAGCGCCAGAATCGTCCATAAGGATTGTCGTCTCTTCGATATAAGTTGCACATCTCCGGTGGGCATGAGATTTGCCATCTTCCGTGGGAAGAAGTTCCTCGTAATCCATGGTGTTCGGACAGAGGACACAACGGATCTTCTTCGGACCAGCCACATGTAGCTTGGCTCGTTTAGCTTTCGATTCGTGGCCCTCGCGCTTCCGTTTCTTGAGTCGAGTCCCGGATTTTTCCGGGACGCTACGGGGAGGCGTGAGCAGATCTGAAACCCCGTCCATGTCCATCTCGTCCAGATAACTACCGATTTCATCGTAGTATTCCGGTGTAGATTCGCCCCGCAGTTTGCGTTCGATTTCACCGATATCGATCCAAACACTATCAGCTTCACAATTGCATTTCTTCGCGACACGAGCATAGTCCAGCCAGCTTTCGGTCGCAAAGTTCACAGATTCAGCACAATTGTATCCCAAATTGAATCCCGAATGGTATCCATAAGGATAGGTGATGACAAACTCTCCCTCATAATGGACCATCTTGTTCACGGAGATACCAAATTGCGACTTTAGAAGAGACGGGGAGATAAGGTATGTTTTATGGCGAAGGAATTGGTCGCAGTTTTTCGCATCCGTTGGCCAGACACCTACACAATAATTTGTTGCCTTCATTAGCAAGAGATAATTTGTAATTGGCAAGATGCAGGAATTCCATAAAAAACCAATCCGCGAAAAGAACTAAGGGCAGGGTTGGAGGCTCACTCTTCATAGCCGCTTCGAACTTTCCCAGATCCTCCTGGGAAATACTATACCACTGTTTTGGGGCGCCAAAGTGGATATAGTTTATACTATACAAATCCACATCCTCCAAGTGCCAGGCGAAAGTTGCCTTCCACATACCCAGATATAGATAAGCGGTATTAACTCCAGGAACTTTCTGGCCAAGCACATCAAGTAGATTCGGTAATTTGGCAACGTTCCATGACGTTACGCTATCATCGAACAGGGACCCAGGCATATCCGCACCGTACATAGGATTGTTGTACATTAAGGATTTCCAATAAGCGGTTTCCAGCTCCTCGCATCGTTCAGGGGTGAATTCCTCAGTGCCAGAAAGACGGTAGTCAAAATCTTTGAAAGCTTCTTCATCAATGTGATCGGCTGCATCGCCGCGATTGTATTTTCTCCGGGCAGAAACAGATTTGGGTTGTCTTCCTTTAGGTTTCGGAGCTGGTAGTGATTCGCCATCACTAAGGATTTCTGTTTTGGTTTCCACGGGCTTCGATTCTGGGGACACAGGTGTGGGTGGGCTTTCCGGCTTTGATTTATCCAGATGGGCCTCTGAAGAGTCCTCCACAGGCTTATCCACTTCCACACGCTTGGGTTTGGGACCAGGTTTCCGTCGTTGCGAGTTTGACCTAGATTGTGACTTGAGCGCACCGCCCCGATTCACCTTCTCCTGATTCCGTCGACGCTCACCCCGTCGGGCTGGTGGTTGGTGGCTGCTCTCCTCACCCCATGATTTCCAGCACCTCAGGTCATAGGATCGCTGTTCTCAAATATTCCCCTTCCCGAAGGAACCATGTGAACCGATTAATTCATGCAGTATTTCATTTCCAACCCGACTGACATTCAAAGTTTGAAGTCAATACGGGAGGGCATCGATTAGACGTAAGAAGTGGCAACCAAATGGAATCTACGTCCAATTAGCCCTGCTCTGAAAGTCGGTTTTCTAACCCTGAAAGGAAGGCACGTCCATTCCACCCCCACATGAGGAAAGACTTCCTCATCCAA